CCAAACTCTGCATATAGCGCACCTCTGAACTCTGCACTCTGTTTCCAGCGCACCCCTGAACTCTGCACTATGTACATAGCGCACCCCAAAACTCTGCATATAGAGCACCCCTGAACTCTGCACTCTGTATGCAGCTCATCCCTGAACTTTGCACTATGTATACTGCTCACCCCTGAACTTGCACTATGTACGTAGCACACCCCTGAACTCTGAACATAGCACGCCTCTGAACTCTGTATGCAACGCACCCCTGAACTTTGCACTATATATGTAGTGCACTCCCAAACTCTGCATATAGCACACCTCTGAATTCTGCACTCTGTATGTAGTGCACCCCTGAACTCTGCACTATGTACATAGATCCTCCAACTCTGCATATAGCGCACCCCTGAACCCTGCACTCCGTATGCAGCGCACCCCTAAACTCTGCACTATGTACGTAGCGCACCCCCAGTCTCTGCATATAGCGCACCCCTGAACTCTGCACTCTGTATGCAGCACACCCCTGAACTCTGCACTATGTACGTAGCCCTTCCCAAACTCTGCATATAGCGCACCTCTGAACTCTGCACTCTGTATGCAGCGCACCCCTGAACTCTGCACTATGTACATAGCGCACCCCAAAACTCTGCACATAGCACACCCCTGAACTCTGCACTATGTACATAGCGCACCCCCGAACTCTGCATATAGAGCACCCCTGAACTCTGCACTCTGTATGGAGCTCATCCCTGAACTTTGCACTATGTACACTCTGTAGGCAGCACACCCCTGAACTCTGCACACCCACATGAACTCTGCACATAGCGCACCCCTGAACTCTACACTCTGTAGACAGCACACCCCTGAACTCTGCACTATGTACATAGCACACCCCTGAACTCTGCACATAGCGCACCCCTGAACTCTACACTCTGTAGACAGCACACCCCTGAACTCTGCACTATGTACGTAGCACACCCCTGAACTCTGCACTATGTACGTAGCACACTCCTGAACTCTGAACATAGCACGCCTCTGAACTCTGTATGCAACGCACCCCTGAACTTTGCACTATATACGTAGCGCACTCTCAAACTCTACATATAGTGCACCTCTGAATTCTGCACTCTATATGTAGAGCACCCCTGAACTCTGCACTCTGTATGCAACGCACCCCTGAACTCTGCACTATGTACATAGCGCACCCCCAAACTTTGCACATAGCGCACCCCTGAACTCTGCACTCTGTGTAACCCCACCAAACTCTGAACTCTGTACATAGTGCACTCCTGGTATTTAATGCCCTTTAAGACCCTCCCACTGTTAGTGAAATTTGACCATACCCACTATTGATGCGGTTTGGAGGGTGTGTGTGGGGGAGGGGGTTTTAGGGGGACGTGGTTGAGTTCCTGCACCTATTTTCTGAGAAAAAAAAACCCTGGCTGCATATATGCATCTACTGTATATGTAAACTGTTTGTTGTGCTGAGAGTGCGCTCACTGCACCCTCCTAGCACAGCAACTAATGTGCCACGGAAAGCTCCCAATGCATACTTGTGATCGGGAGCTGTCCAATCATGTGACCGCCATGACATTCAATCACAGCAGTCACATGATCGGAATGCCTGCCTCCTGGCATTTAGACCCTCTTAAAGGGCTGGGTGGCGATGGCAGGAAGGGGTTACAGGAAATGGAAAAACAAGGGATCAACTGGCAGGATCAACAAGCAAAAAAACTGTTATGGGGGAACTAAAAAAACAAAAATCATAGGCTGCTGTGTTAATACTAGTGACAGACTGCATCTTATATGGATTTCATTTTTTTTTTTTTTGCCCATAGGTACAATTTAAATTTAAACCGAACCAATGAACCTTTAAAAAAAAAAAAAAGCCCGTCAGCACTGTTTAGCAGAAATGGCCCAGGGAGATAAAAATCTCATCCTAGTGGTTGGTTAAGAATAAAACGTATTCCCAATGTGACTCAGATAATAAAAAGTCCCCTTTTCCTCTTCTGATTCTACCTCTTGACACATAGTTAGAATAATTGCGATAGTATCACATTATTCCAAGGCTTTTGAATTGATCTATTTTCAGATCCTGTCGTGGCGTTTGACAGACGAGCCCGCTGAAGTGATGGAAGAACCCCGGCGCTGCCATGGGGGGAGCTCGCTGTACGTTGCATATTAAAACAATTTGTTGCTTAGACCTTCAGAACTGACTGATTTTAAAGAGGGAAAAAAATATTTTGAAAAGGGTTTCGGTTATCGCGGCGTCACGCCGCTTAGGAAATAATTGTACAATCTTGACAGAATTTTAATTTTCAAGTGAAAAAAAAAAAAATATATATATATATATATATATATATACACAGGTGAAACTCGAAAAATTTGAATATGGTGCAAAAGTTCATTTATTTCAGTGCAGGAACTTAAAAGGTGAAACTAATATATGAGACTCATTACATGCAAAGCAAGATAGTTCCAGCCGTGATTTGTCATCATTGTGATGATTATGGCTTACAGCTCATGAAAACCCCAAATCCACAATCTCAGAAAATGAGAATATTCCATGCAATCAATAAAACACGGATTGTACATAGAACAATATCGGACCTCGGAAAAGTAGAAGCTGCATATGTACTCAGTACTTGGTTTGGGCCCCTTTTGCAGCAATTACTGCCTCAATGCGGCGTGGCATGGAAGCTATCAGCCTGTGGCACTGCTGAGGTGTTATGGAAGACCAGGATGCTTCAATAGCGGCCTTCAGCTCTTCTGCATTGTTCGGTCTCATGTCTCTCATCTTTCTCTTGGCAATGCCCCATAGATTCTCTATGGGGTTCAGGTCAGGCGAGTTTGCTGGCCAATCAAGCACAGTAATCCCACGGTCATTGAACCAGGTTTTGGTGCTTTTGGCAATGTGGGCGGTGCCAAGTCCTGCTGGAAAATGAAGTCAGCATCCCCATAAAGCTCGTCTGTGGAAGGAAGCATGAAGTGCTCCAAAATCTCTTGGTAGACGGCTGCGTTGACCCTGGACTTAATGAAGCACAGTGGACCAACACCAGCAGATGACATGGCTCCCCAAATCAACACAGACTGTGGAAACTTCACACTGGACTTCAAGCATCTTGCAGTGTGTGCCTCTTCATTCTTCCTCCATACTCGGGGTCCTTGGGCCTCTCCATTCTTCCTCCATTCTCGGGGTCCTTGTGCCTCTCCATTCTTCCTCCATACTCGGGGTCCTTGTGCCTCTCCATTCTTCCTCCATTCCATACTCGGGGTCCTTGTGCCTCTCCATTCTTCCTCCATACTCGGGGTCCTTGTGCCTCTCCATTCTTCCTCCATACTCGGGGTCCTTGGGCCTCTCCATTCTTCCTCCATACTCGGGGTCCTTGGGCCTCTCCATTCTTCCTCCATACTCGGAGTCCTTGGGCCTCTCCATTCTTCCTCCATACTCGGGGTCCTTGTGCCTCTCCATTCTTCCTCCATACTCTGGGTCCTTGGGCCTCTCCATTCTTCCTCCATACTCGGGGTCCTTGGGCCTCTCCATTCTTCCTCCATACTCGGGGTCCTTGGTTTCCAAATGAGATGCAAAAGTCGCTCTCATCAGAAAAGAGGACTTTGGACCACTGAGCAACAGACCAGGTCTGTTTTTCTATAGCCCAGGTAAGATGCTTCTGACGTTGTTTGTTGTTCAGGAGCGGCTTGACAAGAGGAATACAACATTTGAAGCCCATGTCCAGGATCCGTCTGTGTGTGGTGGCTCTTGATGCACTGACTCCAGCCTCAGTCCACTCCTTGTGAAAGTCCCCAACACTTTTGAATGGCCTTTTCCTGACAATCCTCTCCAGGCTGCGGTCATCCCTGCTGCTTGTGCAACTTTTCTTCCACACTTTTCCCTTCCACATAACTTTCTATTAATGTGCTTTGATACAGCACTTTGGGAACATCCAACTTCTTCTGCAATTACCTTTTGAGGCTTTCCCTCCTTATGGAGGGTGTCAGTGATGGTGTCAGGTCAGCAGTCTTTCCCATGATTGTGATTCCTACTGAACCAGACTGAGAGACCATTTAAAGGCTCAGGAACCCTTTGCAGGTGTTATGGCTGAATTAGCTGATTAGAGTGGGACACTTAGAAAATGAGAATATTGTGAAAAGGTGCAATATTCTCGGGTCAGAGATTGTGGATTTGGGGTTTTCATGAGCTGTAAGCCATAATCATCACAATGATGACAAATCACGGCTTGAACTATCTTGCTTTGCATGTAATGAGTCTCATATATTAGTTTCACCTTTTAAGTTGCTGCACTGAAATAAATGAATGAATGCACCAGATTCTCATTTTTTGAGTTTCACCTGTATATATATATATATACCGTATTTTTCGCTCCATACGACGCACCTAGGTTTTAGAGGCGAAAAACAAGAAAAAAAAATATTCTGAACCAATGGACTGCAGACACAGTACAGGGGATGACCAGAGACTGCGGACACAATACAGGAGATGACCAGAGACTGCGGACACAGTACAGGAGATGACCAGAGACTGCGGACACAGTGCAGGAGATGACCAGAGACTGCGGACACAGTGCAGGAGATGACCAGAGACTGCGAACACAGTGCAGGATATGACCAGAGACTGCGGACACAATGCAGGAGAAGACCAGAGACTGCGGACACAGTGCAGGAGATGACCAGAGACTGCAGACACAGTGCAGGAGATGACCAGAGACTGCGGACACAGTGCAGGAGATGACCAGAGACTGCGGACACAGTACAGGAGATGACCAGAGACTGCGGACATAGTACAGGAGATGACCAGAGACTGCGGACACAGTAAAGGAGATGACCAGAGACTGCAGACAGTTCAGGGGATGACCAGAGACTGCAGACAGTGCAGGAGATGACCAGAGACTGCAGACAGTGCAGGGGATGACCAGAGACTGCAGACAGTGCAGGGGATGACCAGAGACTGCAGACAGTGCAGGGGATGACCAGAGACTGCAGACAGTGCAGGTGATGACCAGAGACTGTAGACAGTGCAGGTTATGACCAGAGACTGCTGACCTTTGGGGAGGGAGGGGGAGCGGGTACCTGAATTTGACAGGTACCCGCTCCCACTTCCGCAGAGTTGTCCTTCCCTCTTCTTCCCGGGCCGGCTTCTGTGACAGCCGGGTGCCCACTGCACATGCGCGAGAAGCGCTGCGCTTTGTGAATGGCCCGGCGCCTTCTGGGACCTGTCATGTGTCCCAGAAAACACCGGATCAATCACAAAGCACAGCGCTTCTCGCGCATGCGCAGTGGGCACCCGGCTGTCACAGAAGCCGGCCCGGGAAGACTGTGCAGCGCTGGAGCGAGGAACAGGTAAGGCCCTGCAGGAGAGAACAGCTGAGCGGCCGGCCCGGTATTCTGACATGGTGGCGGCAGAAATACCAGACCGGCCGCTTTACATTCGCTCCATAAGACGCACTGACATTTTCCCCCCTTTTTTGGGGGGAAAAAAGTGCGTCTTATGAAGCGAAAAATACGGTATATATATATTTTTTTTTTTCCACATTCACTTGAAAATTAAAATTCTGCCAAGCGCCAATATACCAAAACCCGTTTAAAAAAAAAAAAAATTATATATATATAATAAATACACACACACATATATATATATAATTTTTCTTAATATTTATTTTTTTCACTTGAAAATTACAATTCTGTCAAGATTGTACGATTATTTCCTAAGCGGCGTGACGCGGCGATAACCAAAACCATTTAAATATATATATATGTATGTATGTATTTATTTTTTGCACAGAGACGGATCAATGTAGCCCACAGCCCCGGATCAAGCGGGACATGTTTTCAGGATATTATTCTGATGAAACAACGGTGGCGATGGTTTTTCCATTCACATCCTTTATCCCAAAGCCTGTCAGAAGTACAGCGCAGCCGCTCATCCGTCACTCCGGTGTCACGTCGCGCAGTCACATTTCATTTTTTTCTCTTTCCTTTGTGGTCGATGGCCGCGAAAAAATGACAGCGGCGGCATTTGGGGCGAGCAAATGTTTTCTATAAACTTGTCAAGGTGAAGTCTGAATTTCATAATCTGGAAAAAAAAAGGTTTTCTCTGTGCGCAAATCATCCCCCCCCCAAATCTGGCACACGCCGCCTCTGACATACTTGTCTAAATCAAACATGTCGGTTGACATCAGTTCCCTAATTCTGTTATCAGGCAGCCACATGCGCCTGTCAGGCTTGGAGCTTCCTAAGGCAGCAGGCTTGGCTAGGCAGGGCAGCCGTATTCGCGGATGGATTTCCCTCGCCGTGCGTTATTAGACAACCTCATTTGCAATGGAAACTCAAGGGGCTCAGCATGGAGAACCGGAGTCTCTGCATGGCTGTGATAGGTACAATGCAAGGCAAACGCCATCAGTGGCCCTTTGTTGGGTGCACCTCCTTATCGAGTGAGCCAATCATGAACTTCAATACTTAAAATGGAGCTCCGGCCAAAAAAAGCAAAAATGACACGTGCTACTGTGCAAAAGTTTTAGGCAGGCATTAAACGAAGAAAGCTTTAGAAATCGAAGTGCTAATAGTTTATTTTTATCATCTAACAAAATGGAAAGTAAATGAAGATATCACATACCTGGTGGTGGAGGCCAATGGAGAGGGGGCTTCCCTTGCGGCTAAGTTCCGGACTCCCCTGAGAGTGGGACAGCGGGAGTCAGGCCCAAAGTTGCACAGGTCGCCTGTAGGAGTGCTGGTTGGTGGTCCACTCAGAAGCACAGCTGGGGCACGGAGATAGGTCTGCAGACAGGAGGCGCCTGTGTGAGGTATGCAAGCCTTCCGGGATTTAGATGTTTACTGGGTAGTCGGTTTAAGCCAAGGTCAGGTACCAGGTGGGAATCAGAGCAGATGTAGTCAGATGGGATAGCCTGAGGTCATACACAGAGGAGAGAGAGAGAGAGAGAGAGAGAGAGAGAGAGAGAGAGAGAGAGAGAGAGGGAGTATCCGTAAGCCAGGCTGAGGTCAGATCAGGGGTAAAGCAGAGTAGACAGGTCCAGGAGCAAGCCGAGTCGTAACAGGAAATCACGTGTCAAAATCACAGGAACCAGGAACAGGGCATGGGAGCTAGAGATCATCCAGCAACTTGAGAAAGTGATGAGCCTCCTTATAAAGGCCCTCTGGCACCAAACTGAGGCTGATGTGTGCTTCTGCGGCCATGCAGAGTACTGGCTGAAATGCCAGCTCTTCCAGAACTTTTGCCGTGGACAGGACCCTGACAGAAGAGAATAGAAATACAATCAGTATTCAGTGTGATTGCCCTTTGCCTTCTTCTAGGTAGACTTGCACACAGTTTTTGAAGGAACTCGTAGGGTAGGCTGTTCCCAACATCTTGGAGAACTAAACCCAGATCTTCTGTGGATGTCGGCTGTCTCCAATTCTTTTGTCTCTTCATGTCATCCCAGACAGACTCCATGGTGGTGAGATCAGGGCTCTGTGGGGACCAAACCATCACTTCCAGGACTCCTTGTTCTTCTTTACACCGAAGATAGTTCTTAATGACTTTGGCTGTATATTTGGGGTGGTTGTCCTGCTGAAGAATAAATTTGAGGCCAATCAAGCGCCTCCTTGATGGTATGGCATGATGGATAAGTATCTGCCTGTATTTCTCAGCATTGAGGACACCATTAATCATGACCAAATTCTCAATCTCCATTTGCAGCAATGCAGCCCCAAACTTGCAAGGAGCCTCCACCATGCTTCACAGTTGCCTGCAGACACTCAATATTGCACCCCTTTTCAGCCCTTCACCAACAAACTGCCTTCTGCTACAGCCAAATATTTTTTGACTCATCAGTCTAGAGCACCTGCTGCCATTTTTCTGCACCCCAATTCCTCTGTTATCATGCATGGTTGAGTCACTTAGCCTTTTTTTCCATCCGGAGAGGAGGCAGGGCTTTTTTTGAGCAAGAATGTCGGGGAACGTAGTTCCAGCATCTCTAGCACTGAATGTGTATAAGGGCAAGGAGTGCTGGGGTGTGCTGGAAGGTCTATTGATGCTGGCTGCTGGTGGATCTATTGTCACTGGAGGGGATTCTATTTTTGCAAGGCTGTCTATTGTTGCTGGTGGGGGATCTATTGTTGCTGAAGGGGGTGTGCTGTTGAAGGAGGAGTGTATTGATGCTGGCTGCTGTGAGATCTGTTGCTGCTGGGGTGGTATCTTGCTGCGGGGGTCCATTGTTTTTTGTGGGATCTATTGCTGCTGGAGGCAGGTCTATTGCTACTTGCTGCAAGGGATATATTTTACTGCTTTTCCGATTAACAAATTCTATACAAATTGCTTAGCACCACAAAATACTTGGCTCTGTATTCTCTAAAAGGAGCAGTACTGGGAGGTGGGTAGGAGGTGGAACCAAGGCTCAAAAGGGGAAGTTCCTGCACCAGAGAATAAAAGCCCAGGTCAGAGGTATGGCTTTTTGGCCACAATCCTTCCATGAAGACCACTTCTGGCCAGACTTCTCTGGACAGTAGATGGGTGTATCAGGATCCCACTGGTTTCCACCAGTTCTGTGCTGATGGCACTGTTGAACATCTACCGATGTGGAAGGGAAGTATGCATGATGTGGCTTTCATTCGCTTCATTAAGTTTCCTTGGCCGACCACTGCGTCTATGGTTCTCAACGTTGCCCTTTTTTTGTGCTTCTTCAAAAGAGTTTAAGCAGCACATCTTCAAACCCCAGTCTGCTTTGAGATCTTAGAACCAGCAAACACAAATGCTCCTGCGCTTGGGGATGGACTCAATGCAGGCTACAACCACATTAATAATGTCCTGGAATATGCACACCTTGCTGCCCTCAATAGACCGGTGAAATCCAAATATACTGAATGAAGAAAGAACAAACAGAGGGCGCACAGGCCCATGCATTACCATAAAAAAATGTTTAATAAGAAATATGCAGTGGATTCTCTTCATATTGGCCCCAATACTTCTGGTAGGCTTCCTTGATGTGGAGCTCACTGAAGCCTTTTTCTAGGAACTTGGTCCTCAAGATGGCGCTTGGTTCCTCATAGACACCTCTGGTGGTGCATGTTCTCCTCACCTTGCAATAATGACCAAAAGGGACATTACGGATCAATTTGGGGTGGTGATGGCTACTAGCGTACAAGTAAGAGTTGCCTGCGCTAGGCTTAAAATGTGTTTTGGAGCAGATGTTGCCATCAGAGTCTGTCCGTAATGCAAGGTCTAGGAATACCAGACTGTTGACATCCACCACATGTGTGAAGCTGATACCAAAGGGGTTATTTTGGCAGTGTGTAAGAAACACATCCAGATCATCGTCTGACCCTTGCCAGATGATTAAGATATCGTCTATGTATCTGGCGTATAGTGAGCATATAAAAGAGATCCTCGATGTGGACCTCACTGTAGCCTTTTTCTAGGAACTTGGCCCTCAAGATGGCGCTCTGTTCCTCATAGACACCTCTGGTAATGCATGTTCTCCTCAACCTGCAATACTGACCAAAAGGGACATTACGGATCCATTTGGGGTGGTGATGGCTACTAGCGTGCAAGAGTTGCCTGAGCTAGGCTTAAAATGTGTTTTGGAGCAGATGTTGCCATCAGAGTCTGTCCGTAAATCAAGATCTAGAAATACCAGACTGTTGGCATCCACCACAAGTGTGAAGCCGATTCCAAAGGGGTTATTTTGGCAGTGTGTAAGAAACCCATCCAGATCATCGTCTGACCCGTGCCAGATGAAAAGATATCGTCTATATATCTGGCGTAGAGTGAGCATATAAAAAAGGTCCTCAATGTGGACCTTAGTGTAGCCTTTTTCTAGTAATTTGGTCCTCAAGATGGAGCTCTGTTCCTCATAGAGACCTCTGGTGGGGCATGTTCTCCTCAACCTGCAATATTGACCAAAAGGGACATTACGGATCCATTTGGGGTGGTGATGGCTACTAGCGTACAAGTAAGAGTTGCCTGCGCTAGGCTTAAATTGCATTTTGGAGCAGATGTTGCCATCAGAGTCTGTCCGAGTCTGTCCGTAATTCAAGATTTGGGAATAGCAGACTGTTGGCATCCACCACATGTGTGAAGCCGATTCCAAAGAGGTTATTTTGGCAGTGTGCAAGAAATGCATCCAGATCATCG